CCTAGGCAAGAAATGACTCCAAACCCAGCCATGATTCCGAGCTACAAATCTAGCAAAGAAGCTGGTGGACCGCAGCTCCCTCAGGGTGGCTGGTACTGAGGATGAACGTGAGTCCTACTTCTTCCCTCCCCCTGGCTCCACTGCCCAATCAGGACCCCAGTACGGTACAGGGGCCTGGTCATAGGCCTAGCCTTACTGGGAATTAGGACCTTCCAGGCGAGGCCTGTCTCTTACTCAGTGCAAGACATCAGACAAGATACTCCTTAGGACCTCAGTTTCCTCCTGAATAAATACGTTTAGCAGTAGGGCCATCTCTGTTGGACGCCTGCGGTGAAGATTCAGTGAGAGGCCATCAGGCAAGCTGGCTGGAGGGTAGGTTCTTCAGTGAGGGGAGGGGCAAGACCCAACTGCAAAGATCTGGATATTTTCCTTTGCAAAAAACGGGTGATTACCTGGTCCTCCCCGCTTCCTGCTACAGGGTGGGGGGTGGGAAATCCCACTATCTCCCGGGCTTTCCGAGCCACCCCTTATTCAGAGTCTCGTCTCTGGGCCTCTGGGGGGCTTGGGTGGCCTCCTGAAGCAGATAGGTCTGGTCTGGACAGTGGTCTGGACAGGGTCACCATGAAATCAGGATGGGAGCCCAGAGTCTGTGGCAAAGGGCCTGCTGGTCAGGAGAGCTGGAGGTTTGGGCTGTACCCTTGGAGCTGGCCAGTGACGGGACTCTCGAGAGGGATCTCAAACTGTGTGTGTATCCAGGGATGTCTTAGAAAAAGGCGGGGCTGGGCCCTTCCTGAGTTCCCAACCAAAGGGGACTTTGGGGTTTGGGAAATCCCCTCCAGGGTGGCCCCAGGAAAGCCATCTGTTCAGGTGTGCTTCTCCTCTGGCCACCCATCTGGGGCTCAGGCTCCCAGGCTCGGGGTCTTTGATGCCTTCGGTGTCTCTTTCTTTTTGCCTGTTATTTGCTTACCTGGCTTCTTCCAGTGCTTAATATGACCTTGGACATGTGCCTTTAACTTTCTAAGGCAGTTTCTGCATTTAAAGTGGGCACAGTAGTATCTACTTGTAAGCAATTAGTTCCTTTCTTCCCTTACTTGCTTCTTTTTAAAAATTTTTAAATTAAATTTTTATCTTTTTAACTTCTATTCATTATGATGAATTGAAATGTCACACTCTTTGACTAACATCTTCCTTCAGTATCGAAGTGTATGTGCACAGCAGTGTGTGAGTGTGAAAATGTGTGTTCAGAAGTGTATGAGCAAGGTGCTCTCAGCGTCTAGCCAACTTGCTGACCTACTTATGATGGATTTTCTTAGATATGCCAGCGATTTCTTCCTTCTCACCTCTCTCTCCTCCTCCTTTCTCTACCCACCTCCCGGGAAAAGACAATAAAGACAAAGAATCTAGCAATTGTAACTTGAAAGCAAACTACTAGCAAACACTGAAGTAGCTGGGGTGTAAGATACACTATTGCAAACTAGGTTGGTGCAAATTAAAAGCAAAATAAAAAGCTCCATGATATGTTATTGATCATTTTCAACTTAAAAGCCTAAAGCATAAGATCCATATTCAGGTTGTAGGAAAGCACTATGGATTTTGAAATGAAAAATGCACGTTTCGAGTCAAGGAATGGGAGTCATTTGATGTCACTAGCCCTCATTTATAGAGGACTTAATGAGATGGACCAGTGTCCTGCCCGCAAATGGCCTCTGGCATCTGGGCTAGGTTTTGTGATGCCAGGTCAGCAGGCAAAGCAACTGTCTGCCAGGTCACAGTGCATGGTGGTGTATACATTTGCCAGGCCGATGCCTCCTCTGGGCTCTTTCTGAGATTCGTGGCTCCAAAGCAGGTCCAGACAGGCAGGGAATGTGATCTGCAGAGAGCTGTAGGGAGCGGCCATCTTCTTGGACCTTCTGTTTAGGAGGTACAGGTTCTGGAGACCTGGTGAGAGCATGTAATTTTGAGAGATTAAAAATGTGAGGAGGGCTCTGGGGGCCAGGAAAGACCTGGAGCGATAGTGACTTGGTTTCATTATAATAACCCTTTGTACCCTGCCTTGAGTCCAGTGCTTTTGAGGGACTTGTTTCATTCTTCCTCCCGTGATGCCCTTCCCTGGACACTGGGGAATCCAGACTTTAGCAGACATGTCTGCCTACACTAGTGGTTCTCAAAGTATTATTCCTGTACTAGCAGAATCAGCATCCCCTGGGAACTTACTATGAACACTCCTCAAACCTCTGGGGTCTGAGGGAATTTGCATTTCTAACAAGTCCCCGTGTGACATTCATGCTGCAGATTTAGGGACCACTGCAGCTTTAGTGACATTGAAAATCACTGTCCTAGAACAACCTCCAGGTACCTGGGTCATAGAATTCTTGCCCAAATAGCCCTGAGCACTTTCAAGGCCAGGACATCTTCTTTATTAGGTCTCTCCTCCCAGGAGAGGACCCCACCACTGAGAAATGTGTGCACTGGTAGAGCCGGGATGCTGGGATCTGCGGGCTGCAATGTCCACATGTATGCAGGGAGGCCTCTTGGAAGAGTGGGATGACACCGGTGTGGAGAGAGAAGGGAGCAGGATGGAAACTGAAGGCGTTAATGCGTTCTTCCCTGAGCTGTGAAAAGGGTAAGCATTGACTCCTTATGGTGGAAAGATCATTAGAAATCCCAAGGTTGCAGAATCAGCAGGGTCCTTTCTCTGCAGAGCTTGGCTCAGTTTTAACTCGGCTGTGCACGCTAACCTTTTACCAGCCCACAGAGAGAGAGAGAGAGAGAGAGAGAGAGAGAGACAGAGAGAGAGAGAGACAGACAGACAGAGAGAGAGAAAGCAAAGGCAGGCTGATTTCTCTATGTTGCGCTAGAGAGAAATAAATAAATATTCTTTATACCTGCCTAATGCTTTTCCAGCCAGGAACACCCTATCTCAAAAGTTATGCAAGCAGAAATGGAAACAATATCCTAAGGTTTTATTCCTAGCAAGTCTTGCATTTAGTTTGGACTGCATTGCTTTTCCCTTGAACTCCAGTCTCATACCTGGACTACAATGGTGTGACAGTGGGGATAAGGGGCTAAATGCTCCAACACTGAAACCAAACATCTTACATTCTGGATCTTGTCCTCACCACTTACTGGCTGTCTGAGCCAAAGTTAACTTAATTTCTCCAAGCCTTGGTTTTCTCATCTGCTATATGGGAACAACAGGGGCTTGTACCTACCTTGCAAAACTGTTCTGATTGTGTGCATAAAGTAAAGATTGCAACTGTGTCCACCCTCACAACATTAGTGCAGTAAGTGGCCAAGGCTTGTTCCTCTCATCACACACTTAGTTCTAAGAGAGAGGCAGGAAAGTGAAGCTCAAGGCAATAGGCCCAGAGATCTGGGTGGAGGCTGAGCAGAGTCAGACACCAGTGTCCTGTAAGAAAGAGAAAAGTGGCTTGAATTCCCTGATTTTAGTGTGACCCTGGCTGGTTTGAAGGTCTTGACTTCCATAAATCAACTGCCTCCAGCAGCTTTTCCCTTTTCACCTCTCTAACCCTTCTCACAACTACCTCTCAGGTCAGGGCATGTGTCAGAGAGGCAGCCGGCCCTGCGGTCAGCACCAGGCATCTACTGACCGTTGATGCTGAGGCTCCAGAGCCCTTGCCCTAGGGCTACATCTGGACAGGCTGGGAGGGTCGAATCTGGGACCCAGTGACACTTTTACTATTAAAATCCACCCAGGCTTTACTAGCTTCTGGGGAAAGCTGGGGGCTTTGGGGATTTTTGTATTTGCTGGGTTGTAAATATTTTATGGGAAAGCAGCCCCGGAAAACCTGGTTAGCTTTCCGCCTTGCACATTGAAGTGGGATTGGCTTCATGCACCAGTGTGTCAAAAAAAAAAGGTCCAGTTTTGCCTTGGTCCTGAAGAATTTGCCTTGGGTTTTAAAAGCCTCCTACCCTGGATGGGTCTCATATTTCTTTTTTCCTCACCTATACCCCCTCCCCCCAAAAAGTTAACTTCACGATTAGTTGTAACACAAGAGAAGTTCAAATTGGATGGTGGGGGAAGAGAGAAGTGTGTGTGTGTGTGTGTGTGTGTGTGTGTGTGTGTGTGTAAATGTCTGGTTGAGGTTTTCATTCAGCTCTATCTTTCAGCTCTATTTCTCATTAACTGGAGGATCTTTTCCCTCATCCCATTCTGAAATCCTCGTTGTTCTTTTATTTCTTGTGAAGGAAGAAGAAAAGGAAAAAAATGTCATTGTGCCCAAATGCCTCAGCAGAACTCCCCAAGGGGAGCAATATGGTCATGGACAGTAGGACTACACCCTTAAATCATTTTGGAGCCTTAGATACTGAGTCAATTCCAGTAAGCCAGGTAGTAGTTTTTTAATTCTCCAGAAGATTCTAATGGGCAGCCAGGTTGAGAATCTCTGGTATAGAAGTGTCACACTTAGACCTTCGCTGACTCTAGGTAGGCCACTGCTCTGGGCACCTTGCCCTAGTTCCTATGGGCTGGGGGAGGGCGAAGCGTTGCTGGGCATGACAGACCGATAAGCAAGGAAATGCAAACAGGGCAACTGCAAATCATCCGTGATAGTAAATAACCCAGGGTGGGTCCTGTGCTAGTGGCCAAGGGAAGCTACTTTAGAGATCAGGGTGGTCTAGGATGGCCTCTGGAGATGGTGACATTGAAACGTGAATCTAGAGAACTAGCCAGCAGAGAGGGGGTCTAGGGGAAGCAGCTCGGCCTAGGCTGGACCACAAAGGGCGCCTTAGTGGATGGGGGTGACCCGGGAGGCCGCTGCCACAGCCACCGCCCTTCGTCCCGGGGTCTGGGGCTGACCCGGGGGAGGGTCCTGCCCGGGGTGGGCCCTCGCCAGCGCCGAGCAGCGGCCGGGCTGAGAGCCCTGAGGTGGCCAGGCCCCCTGCCCCCTCCCGGCCCTCTTCCTCCCAGGGCGGCCGGACAGCACCCGGCTGATCTCCCCCTTAAGTGAAACTGACTGTAATTATTTTTTATCTCGCAGACGATCTCTCGCACACTCCTCTCCGGAGACAGAAGTATTTGTTTGATGTGTCCACGCTCTCAGACAGAGAAGAGCTGGTGGGCGCGGAGCTGCGGCTCTACCGCCAGGCGCCCGCTGCGCCCTGGAGGCAGCCGGCCGGGCCGCTGCACGTGCAGCTGTCGCGCTGCCGGTCGCCCGCGCTGCTGGACGCGCGCACCCTGGACCCGCAGGGGGCGCCCCCCGCCGGCTGGGAAGTCTTCGACGTGTGGCAGGTTCTGCGCCACCAGCCCGGGAAGCAGCTGTGCTTGGAGCTGCGGGCCGTGGGGGTCGAGCTGGACTCTGGGGAGGTCGAGGCGCGCGCGCGGGGCCCCCAGCAGCCGCCGCCCCCGGACCTGCGGAGTCTGGGCTTCGGCCGCAGGGTGCGCGCCCCGCAGGAGCGCGCCCTGCTCGTGGTATTCACCAGATCTCAGCGAAAGAACCTGTTCGCCGAGATGCGCGAGCAGCTGGGTTCGGGGGAGGCTGCGGGCGCCGAGGGGTCTTGGTCGCTGCCATCTGGTGCCCCGGAAGCCGGGCCGTGGCTGCCCTTGCCCGGCCGGCGACGACGGCGCACGGCCTTCGCCAGCCGCCACGGCAAGCGGCACGGCAAGAAGTCGAGGCTGCGCTGCAGCAAGAAGCCCCTGCACGTGAACTTCAAGGAGCTGGGCTGGGACGACTGGATCATCGCGCCCCTGGAGTACGAGGCCTACCACTGCGAGGGCGTGTGCGACTTCCCGCTGCGCTCTCACCTGGAGCCCACCAACCACGCCATCATCCAGACGCTGATGAACTCCATGGACCCCGGCTCCACGCCGCCCAGCTGCTGCGTGCCCACCAAATTGACTCCCATCAGCATCCTGTACATTGACGCGGGCAACAACGTGGTCTACAAGCAGTACGAGGACATGGTGGTGGAGTCCTGCGGCTGCAGGTAGCGGTTCCTTTCCTGCCGCCTTGGCTCCGGACCGCAGAGAGGCCTGACTGCAGCGAGGCGGAGGAGGGAAGCTGGCCTTGGATGGGCTGAGGGTGGGGGGCAGCCCGGACGGGAGAGCAGCGAGAGAAGGGGGCACAGCCGGCCCGGACCCCCCACTTGCCAGCCCCGAGGTGCGAGTCACGCCTTGCCTGGCCACCCTGGAGCGACCAGAGGAGGATTTCTTTCGTCTCTCCCCACCCCCTTATTATTGTGGCTTTGGATTTCCTTGTGTGTCTCACAGGTTTGGATGGGAGGTAGGGCGAAGGGAGACGCATACCTGTTTCTCAACTGCTCCATACATTGGGAAAACAAAAGCTTAAAAGGGGAACGATGTGGGAGAAAGAACCAGTAACCACATCTGGGCTTGGTTGTTTCCTCTTCTGTGAGAAGTCGGGGTCTTTCCAGCCATGTCACAGCCCCTGTCTTTGACCTCTCCAGCAAAAAGTGTCAAGGAAAATCGGCGAACGGAATAGGAGCCAGCGAGGGTCCCGCCTTTGCGAGTTTTGGGAGAGGTGGGCCCACGCGGGCCTGCGTCCCTCACGCGCGTGTTCCCAGGATTTACCAACTCTGCCTGGCGTCTCGCAGCGCTAGGAGCCTCCGTCCCACTGCAGAGGGCTCGGGCCGCTCCAGCCTTTACTGCGGCTTTTTCTGGTGGGGGAGAGGGAGTTGGTATGGATGGAATGACAAGAATTAGTCCACCTAGAGCCCCCAGAAGGATAGTGAGAAACCGCGAGGTTGCCTCTGAGCGGGCTGGCAGAGGTGCTGCAGCCCAGGCTGGAGGGAGCCCGCCCTGAAGCTCTTGGAGTTATCTCTTTCTAATTGATTTGTCAAAATTCAAACGTCTCTTTCTAAGGGGAGAGTGATTTTCTAATTAAAAAGAAAATTCGTAGGAGTGGGGAAATAAGTAATTAAGGTAAGAGATGCAGAACAGAGGAGGGGAAAAGGACCCCAGAGGCAGAAGGGCCACAGGGCCGAGGGAGGGTGGAGGACGGCGACCAGAGGCCAGTCGGTCCCAGCCGGGAAGGAGAGGATGAGGGGGCGGGGCACGGCCCAGTCTCTGAAGTTTCTGAACAAGTACGTTCCCTCCCCTCTCTCTGACATTCCTGAAAGATTACCAGTCAGCAATAGCCCAGGGCTCCCCCAAAAGAATTGTTTTAGATTGTAATTACCAGTTAGGCAATGTTTTTAAAACTTAGTAATGAGAAACTGTGAAAAGAGCCAAGTGTTACATTGAGCTTGGGGTGGAGAATGGGGAACGGGCAGCAAAGAAAGGGGCGAGGGGGAAATTCACCTTCTGGAAGGAAACGAGAGAGAGCACAGACCCAAACTGAAACATCCATTCCCAGGTAGTCAAAAACCAGTCTGCAGCAGTATTATTTTCCAACATTGCCCATGAGGTCCTTTGAAGAATGAGCCTCCTCCTAATCTTTTGACCATGAGATGGTTTAAACAGGGGAACCTTTGCCAACTATTACAAAAAGTTTTGCTTTATCTTAAGTGGTTTGCTCTGTCCCCATCTATATCTTTTGCTTGTTTGGTTCCGAGAAGTGCAAACTGTCAAGGAAAAAGTGGGGATGATAATAAATGCTAATATAAAATGCTAAGTAAGAAGAAAAAGAGACTTGGCCAGGAGAAATAATTTAAAATGCAGATTTGCTTTGGATGCACTGTTGTTGTTCTGTTAAGGCTGTATATATTTGTTTATTTAAAGTGACTGGAAGTGCAAAGAGGAAATGGACACCACGTAATTCATCCTAATGTACAAAATGTTATATGCACTCAAATGTTATAATTTCTAATATTTTTAAAGTTTATATTTGAGTTGTACAAAGTTAAGCATTAATCAGATATTTCATTCTTTCATAATATTATCATTTTCTTAAATATTATTACAAATTTTTAAGTCTGTCTAATGGAGAGTTTTTTTTTTAAAAAAAAACTGTCTACCTCACTGCAATACAAGTATTTACAAAGTTAAAGTTACCAGAGGTCAATTAATATCCAAAATATTTTTTATAATACACCTTTCCTGGATGGTACTCATTCTGATTAATAGTTCATTATTAAACTCATTTCCCCCTTAATAACTCAGCCTGGTGTATATGGATCTATTTAGAGAAAATTTCTTGAGGAATTATTTTCTATGGTATTTTGTTCCAGCATGTTACTGGACGTTTAGAAAGGTACTGATTGTTTTAAAATCCATCATTTAGAGCATTGTATTTTTTCTTCATGACTTTTTAAAATAAAATATGTATTCACCAGATTAAAGTCAAATCCTGGTCAGCTGTTAGAACAAGATTCACAAGCCTAGGCCCCATCCCACCAACTCAAGAATCTAAAGAAGAGTTGGGTTATTTCTTGGTTTTGTTTTAAACCCAGGGCCTCGGGCATGCTAAGCATGTACTCCACCACTATTCTACATACTTAGCTCCTCTTTAATTACTAACTGCCGTTTACATTTATAGCATACTGAAACCAGAAGATACAAAGTGTTTTGTTTGTACTTGCTGTGAATTGGGGGACCCTTGTACAAGTGCAAGTCTGAGGAACTCAACGTGTGCCAGGTACTGTGTCATTGAACATTTGTTATCTCTTAAACCTCTCAGAAACAATGAGGAAGGTATTATAAAACCCATTTTACAGAGGAGGAAATTGAGGTGCAAAAACTTAACCCCTAAATGTTCTCCAGCCATGGAGTGATAACTCAAACCCAACCCAGTTTCCACCATTCTTTCTATACCCAGCACCCAACTGCCCCAAACTTCCAAGTGCCCTGAGCACACACAGCCATGTGTACCAATATGTTCCCAGCCCAGAGTTCCCTCGCTTTCCTGCACATATGTTTCTATCTTCATCCAAAGTTGTTTTTCTTTCTTCCTTTCACCAGAAAGTTAACTTAATTCCTTAACTCAGGTAGTAAAAGAAACACAATCTGATTGAATTACCTGAAGATGTAAATATCTCCTAGTCCTCAACCTTGGAGACATTTCTATTTTCAAAGCAAGATCTTGGCTAACCTGGATTTCTTCTGAATGAAAAAAAAAATCCATATGACTCCAGAGAAGATTCAACACTCAAGGTACACACCATTTTGAGAGCTATGTGTGAACTAGACCATAGGGATACAGGATGAATGAGGATACTCATCAGTGTGAATTTTTTGGTATCCCTTATGAGAGAAATTTTGTGCAGTGAAGAGACTACTTATAGTCATTTTGTTTTAACATTAGTACCCAAAGTATGAAAACAAAACATTCAATAACTTAAATTTTTTCCTGATGCTTTTTGATATATAGCTCAATTAAAATAAGCTTTTTCTTTGTTTTATTTATTGTTGTTTTCTTAGTATCCAGGGTTATGCCTGATCTGTAGCAGACATTTAATAAATATATTGAGTGAATAAGTCTATGAATCCTGTTCTACCTACAAATCTTGTAATTTTAATGTTATTTTCAAAGGAGCTTTTTATTAATGTCCTTTTAATTCAAGTTAATGAGTCAACCAATCTTCCCTTATCAAGAAATTCCAGCTACAAACTTAGTCAATAAGCTTCCTTTAAATATTGTACATTAATTAATATATGTGCATTATTGTACATTTATTAATTTGATATATCCATCTTTCTTTTAAAGCCCCTTTTTTCTGTAGGAGGAAAAACCTCCCCATATGTGTAAACCCACTCTATGTAAATATAATAGATAAAATGTCTAAAGATGATGATTCTTAAATTCTATTAAGCATTCCAATATTCTTCTTATCTTTTTTTTTTGGTACTGGGGATCCAACTCAGGACCTTGGGCTTGTGAGGCAGGTGGCAGCACCATTGAGCTAAATCCCCGGCCCACTCTTCTTATCTTTTAACATCAGGAATCTTACTGAATTACTCATTTAAATTCACATCAGAGGCTAACTTGTTAGATACATTAATAAACTAGTTTCTTATAGCTTATAACACTTTAAGTCCCAAATACTATTTATACTGATTGTTCCAATGATTTCAAAATGTATTCTGAGGGCCAGAGATTTAGCTCAGTGGTGCTGCCACCTTCCTCAAAAGTGCAAGGTCCTGAGTTCAATCTCTGATACCAAAAAAAAAAAGTATTTGAATTTAATATGAAAATGTTAATAATTTAATCCTGCACCACATTCTAAAATTTCTTGAGTTAAAAACACCCACTACTGAAAAATTATAGTGTCATAAGCAAGATAATCTATCGGATTAGTTTGTCCTTACATAATTCTCCCATAACTTTTTTCACCTTTATCACCAAATTCTGGAAATAAGAATTCTGTCTTTTTTTTTTTTCCATGTTCTTCCTGTGTAGAACTACGACTCTCACAGACACTCAAATGGCACCTAATGGGGACTTCACATCTCCCTCCTTCTTGTCTAGTTCTATGGTCACAATAAGTTGTGTTAATGAAAACACTGCTCTTATACTTGAGTTCACAGGAGCATTAGTACATTATTTTTTTAGGTAAGGTTCCTATCAACTCTAGTTGTAATTACCTTGCTTTACAGATGAGAAAACTGAGGTTTATGGAGACTCAGTAACTTTTGTGGGAGGAGCTGGGACTTCAATGGGTAGAATCTACAGCTATTTCATGAGTTATTAGTGTCCGGAAGAGACTGTTCCAGACTCTGGGAAACTTTATACATAGAATTCTAGATAGTAAAAGCTCAAACTTGGAGCTGAATATCCAAGATCTTCCAGGCTCCTAAAAGCAGGTTGGCCTCTCTACCTATATTTTGCTTTCTGTGGCATAATCCTTTCCTTTCCAACTCACAGGCACTCTCAAAACTTAACCCGCTTCTTATTTTGCTAGAGTTCTTTCACGAGTTCTGGGAAAATGATAGGCCTCCAATCTGTTGGAGAAAAAGGCCCTTGGCTTGCCACACATCTTCACTTTTTTTCCTTTAAACCTTTTGTGTTACCTGAATAAGGAAATATTTACCTGTCTAGGTTTAAAAATTTACCTGTCTATGCTTTAAAATTCTCAGTGGTTGAGTTCAGTTTCAACTTTGGAACTTCCTTTATCTCCAGTTTTATACCTAAATGATTTGATAAACTGAGAAACCATGTTATTATTTTTGCCCTTTCTGGTGATTAATGTTTATTGAACAGCAATAGCATTCAAATCAAGGCAGAAGATTTAGGGTTATTCAAAGTCCTTGCTTGGTTAGAACTTTTAATTTTGGAAGAACTTTTAATGTTGCTGACTTTAAAATTTCTATCCAGAACAAATGGACAACATTATTCTTATAAGAATGCTTGGGTTAGGCTTACAGAAAACTGTATGTACTCATTCCAGGTTTCATCTTTGACTAAGATTTGGCTATTGAAGTTTGTCGGGATTGAGTTGCTAATGATTAAGAATCCTGCCTCTGCAGTGGACAAATGATTTTTCCAAATACATAGTTAACAATTACAGTCAACATTTTTTTCCTTTTCTATAATTTACTTGCATGAGTTGGAGAGTGACTCCTCAGCTAGCATTAATTGTGGGAGGGCCCTGGACAGAGCAGAGAGCAGGGGGCCGGCTCAATGGGCAGAAGCCCTTTAGAGGCCTGTGCTGAATGGCCAGTATCTTGGCATTTCTCCAGGTTATCCCAAATGCTTGAATTTAGGCATTTGTCTAGCAGTGGGAAGCAGGTCTAGCTTCTAAAAAATTTTTGCTCCATTCCTAAAATGTTCTATATTGTTCATTATTTAACACTTGGATTTTTATTCCAGAGAGGGGAAAATGGTAACTTTTTATGAATGAGAAACTCACATGGTAAACAGTTGAGTTCCTTTCATGAACAAGCTTTGCATGCCCAGTAACTGCACATATTATTCTGCCCCCATCAGGTAGATTATAGGTGGAAGCATTTCTTCCCCACCCCGTGCTCAGCAGGGGATCCAGAAACCTGTTCAGGCTCTGAGGGTATGGAGATGGTGGATGGAGAGAAGATCAGAGGAGAGGAGGGGGGGGTTAGGGGAGAGGAGAGGCGAGGAGAGCAGAAGACAGGAGGGACTTTCAGTGATCCCGGCACTAAATTAGAGGCTTCTTTTTAGAGTTTGTGTATAATTCTCTCACAGAGTTATAAAAAACTTAACAAATGACCTAGTATATAGGAAGCACTCAGCAGTGATTACCACTTAGTGATCATAATCATCATCATTATCTTACATTTGGGTAGAAGTTTGAAAGCTGCCCTTGTTTTTGACTGGTGATGGGAATGACAGTTCAAATGACCCTCTAGCAAGGGACATCACTCATTCATTAAATAGGTGTACTGCTTTGTGCATCTACCATTTGGCAGGTACTGCACTTAGCACTAAGAATATAGACTTCACTAGGAATAACTCTAAAAAAGAGAAGGATTGCTGAAATCCTTGCCCAAGGTGGGGAGCAGTATTAGAGATCTCAGTGACACCCTCAAGAGGAAGAAGCAGATCTCGTCTATACAAAGTGGCCTTTCCCCGAGCACTGGAGAGCCATTCACCTTGATTATTAACCTGTCACATGGGTGGGATGAGGGGCCAAGTTTAGTGTCTGATCAGAAATTTATTTATTTTTCCTCCATCTCACATTCATTCTACTTTTAGAGAATCAAAGTTTATATATATATATATATATATATATATATATATATATGTCTTATTGACTGCTGAGCAAACTCCGTGGACTCTATATTAGTAATCTATCTTTTTTTGTTGGCACTGGGGATTGAACTCAGGACATTGCGCTTGCGAGGCAGGCAGTGGAACCACTGAGCTAAATCCTGCACCCCTCTATATTAGTAACCCATCTTAAAGCTCCTGGAGGAAC